CTTGATCCTGACTTTGGTACGCCATGATGGGCCTCGATGTTTGGGAAGATTCAAAGGTTGCTGGGGTCAAAAAAGAGACAACACATCAGCATGAATTGCGGCGTGCTAGAGCCACACAGGGTGTTCACCGTCCAAGTCTCATGACGCATTGACGCAGTCATGTAATGTGATGTTTGTTTATGTTTGATTGTCAGAAACAACTCCATGCTGAGCAGTTCGTTTTAACATGTTTTAACAGACTGTTCCACAGGTGTCTTCAGTGAAGTCCCTGGAGACTCCACTGAAGTGGAGCTTTTACAGTGCCGTCGGGACTTCCCAGCGCCGTCAAAGAGAAGATGTTGTTTAGCAGAACTTTGACCTGTAACTCAGCTGCTCGTAACGTATCGAATGGCCGGACCCTCCGCAGCTGTGAAAGATGAGTGTGTTCAATAATCATCAATAATCCATGAACTTCCATGAACCATTGGTAGTATCACAAGTTTGACGCACCCGTAGTCGAAATTTGTTTGTCACCAGGTCCCTGCAACTTCTTCAGCCGGCAGCGTCTTCAGGCGGTTTTGATAGGAACATCCAGCAGGGTGTTGGGTGAGTAAGTGTTAAACTGTAGCTGAGGTGATGTGAGGGGAAGTCTTAGTCTTAGTCCATCAGTATGCTACCTGCCCTTGTGCTTTTACAGTACAAGCAGTTGGGAGATGTTGAGAGCAACTTTCTGGGTACATGGAGCAACAGCGACCAGCAACCAGATGCAGTGCACGGTGAGTGTTCAAAAGTGCAGAGAAATTCTCTCCTGCTCGTATGGACTGCAGGCCAGCCATTGTACAGCTGCAGGGAAGGCTGAGAGGCTGCTGGTCAATGTCCTGTTTGTATCTATTGCAGCACGTAGTGTGTTATTTGGAACGTGTCCAAACAGGCCGTGGTTGAAATCTTTTGATAGCAAGCACCTTCACACAGCAGGCACCGAGTGCATCCTTACCGATGATGGGACCTTTTGCCTTCCGCAGAAGGCTTTGAAACGTGACAAAACATCCGCTGGCACTGGCATGTCACATAAGGAAGCTTTGCGAGCTTGGCAAATGGAAGGTCCAACATGTTGTGAGATCTTTGCAACCTCCAAACCTGCAACCATAAGGAAGTTTCGGCGTCGTTGTTTCGCACACCTGTCAATTGTGAACCTGCTAGGCCCTTCGCTGTCCACCAGAGGTGCTTTTCTGCGTTTGTGGACTCAACGGGAATGAACACCCAGATGAGCGTTGCTTCATTGACAGTAGGATGACAATCTTCGAAGGGGAAGAGCATTGAATTGAGCGTTGTCCCTGATCGACTTGCTTTGAGGTTGCCAGGACCTAGAGTCCAGACTGTTGATAGCTGTTGTTTGCTTGCCAGCAAAAGGCAAGCAAAAAGAGATCAGAAGACGAAACTTGCAAGGTCCTTATCATTTCATGTGTGCAGCCAACTGTGAAGAAACAAAGAAATTGAACAACGGCCGGCACCTGTGCTTTTGCCAGGCCCGACGATGTTTGGGTCCTGAGAGTCCCTTGCGACAAGCCCTTCAGAAGCAAGGAGCCGGCCTTGTAGTGGTGGTCGAGTGCCAAGTGCTGTAGCAGAACAGAACACGCGTGGTTTTGCTGAGGGCTTGGCTTCTTGATTTGCTCACATTAAGGTATATAAGATTATATAAGTATATATACTTGTGGCCACTCTGGATACAGATGGCGGGTGGAAATGGACCACCATGTTGTGGTATAATAGAAAGTCTATAAATGTTCACACTTCACACGGTCTTCAAGGAAAACCCATACCCTTCAGGAAATGTGTTCACAATGACCAAGTGGGAGAGGTTAGAGCTGCTTCGGGCCAGGCTTCCAAGTGATGTCAAATTGTTTTGAAATTGTCCACCAGTGCGGTGCCATAGTACATTCTGAGCTACACACTTGTCATTTGTAAAGTCGCCCTCTCAAGCTGTCGGCAACCCCCGTGGCCTTCCTCTTTCTAAGGTCTCAAACTACTTGTGCTTGCTCTTCCGAGATACCATGTGGGCTTTTTGATGCTTTTTGTGTGTGCATCGAAAGAGGGAGCAGGGAGACTCATGAGATCGACCCTCCTGGTCAAAGGAATCGACCAAACCCATTTGGTTGGGAGCTGGGGGGTTATCCCGTTATTCCAATAAGCGTCCATTTGCATGCATTCTTGCGAAACGCACCCTGGATCATCCTGGATCCATTCTCCAGGATTGCACTTGCTCCATGAGAAGGCTCAACAACCTGGGACGGGTGGAGATGGAAGAACGAGTCTCATATGTCACAGCCTTCCAATGACATGGGACATAGGAGCTGCCAGAGTCAAAAGTCAATGATAGGTTGTCACAGATTGTCAGATTCTCCGAAGTTGGTTCATGTTGCTACGGGTGTAGGAGGAGGAGGAGAAGGAGAAGGAGTAGGAGTAGTAGTAGTAGTAGTAGTAGTAGTAGGTAGCAGTAGGAGTAGATGTTCATTGGAATCTTTGGTTTATCCTGGGTGGTCTCCGCAATCCCCCCCATGCCTTCCAATACACAGCTCTACTCGGAGTGCATGTTCTGGGGTCCATTGGAACACACGTTGAGCCTCTTGAGCTCGCGTTTTAAGGTGGAAACCTTCGCTCCTGCTGGTCTATTGGATGGCCGGCTCAGTCGCATCGGTGAAGGTTTTTGGGCGTTTGGCACGGTATGGCAGAGTGTTTAGATGATCCAAGAAGATCCGGCTTCTGGTATCCAAGAGGATCCGTGGGGTGGGTGCAAGAGAAAAAGAAACGACATGGAGTTATCGATAGACCCTAACCAGAAAGACGCTGCCAAATCCATGGTCGGATGAAGTGTCACGGGTCGAATTTCCTCTTGGGTTTGATACGTATGCTGATCAGACAACTGCACCCCTGGCATGGTCGCCAAACCCTCAGTGACCCATGAGAGGCCTCGGCGTCTTACGGCTGAATGCCTCGCAGCTCTTGCGGCTGTTGCCCTGTGTCGAAGTCAAAGCCCCAGGGCACCAGAGCAGGGTGCTTGACGCAATGCTTCACCCCTCAAGCCTTTGGGGGACTAGAAGGAGCAGAGAGGACACTAGCCCCCGTGTACCTAAATACAGCATCTGATCTGTGGAATCGGAATGTGCTTTGTGTGTCAAATCTGACACAAAACGGAGGACTTCCCTGGGATGATATGGTGGCGCCAGCTCTTGGCATTGCTGGACGGGAGAAGAATGACGATGGCTGTTAGCCTTCTCAGGGTGCTTTCCCAACCCACCGTTGCCACCCTCCATTGCAACGGAAGTTTCGGGATGTCTCAAGTGTGATTTGGTGGGTGTGACCCACCATGTGCACCAAGTGCAATTTTAAGATCACTCAAGTTTGACGCATATTAACTCTTTGCCTTGCAGGACGAGCTTTTGGATTTGGCGCCCAAGAACGATGTGTCCCGACTACTGGAGGCGCGATGAAATGCAATGAAGGTCGAACCGTTGGGTTTGAGAGTTTTCAGCGACTTGCCTTTCTTCCAGGTCTTTCATGTGTTTGACACTTTCTCTGGAGCCAGATGTATCACATGGAACTAAGCAGCTGGCATGTTTGCACTCACAAAGCCAGCAACCACCTGGTCTTGTCACCTCTTGCATTACGTGCCCAGCGGGAATAAGTTGAACTCAGTATCTCGCCCTTCTTCGTCGCGGTTCCGCAATAAACCTCATGGCATGTCGGCACCTGGCCAATGCCATGTCGTAGCAGGTGGCCACACTGCCCCGTTCGCAACGTGTTGCAAAAGCATTGCTCTGATTGTCCGGGCAACACACAGGTGGAACCCGTTCTTTCCTTGGAGATGGCCTGGGTCAAGACTCGTCTCAATTCCAAGGAAGACCGCCCCGGCCATTGACGACGGACCTGGAATCAAAGCAAATCCTAAAGGGTAGGAAAACAATGGAAAACGTGTGACCGAGAAAGGCCATCCTTGACGGTCAACGCAAGACCAGTCGCATCCAATCGCTGTGCTTTCTGGGCCTGTACCGCAAAAGCATTCTCTTGCTGCCACCGGCATTGACGCTTGCGCTTGTGCTTGACGTGCTGCCTGCAGAATCTGAGAGCTCATAGTCAAGCCAGTATATATAATGGAAGAGATCACTGGCACACTGGAGGCCGCACGCTATCTAGGCGATGATGCGCTTGCAATCCACAGCTCAGGATGGATACCGATGGGAAAACTGATGGGCAAACAGTAGGTGGGTTTTGGATGGTTGTGGTGTCTTGCTTCCAGTTTTGAGGCCAATTGGAGCCCCAACTAGAGTCCCTTCTCGTCATCTTCTTGCCAGGTGGCCCGACAACTGCCCTTGCTGCCGCGCCAGGGCTTTGGCCTGGAGGTTTGCCACGGCTTGGTCCTGCCACCAGAGCCACCCGAGGCGTATTGAACGGAGTCGGGAAGATCAAAACAAAACTCCCAAGGACTGGAACGTGGGATCTGTTGAGATCCGGATCCATTGCGATTTGCCGGTGTGAGGATTTGGATGATTTGGTTGCTTTCGCAGTGGCTTTCGTTGATGTTGCTTTAGTGGTTTGACCTTATCTGGACGAGCTTTCTGGTAGATTCGATTGTATTGCGGAAAAAAAACAACATAAAAATCTAAATCCTGACTGTTGGGAAAGGCTGGCTGTTTCGGGATAAGGGCAAGCATCCACAGGCAGACTCCTTCCCAGTGGAGCTCTTGGCAGAGCTACGTGCCGTGGATTCCAGGCGGGGAACCTGAAACAGGAACATCCTGAAACCGTTCCAAAGTTGGTGTGCTTTCTTTTGGTCAGATTTGAGGGGATCTCAGGGATCTCCTTCTGTCTTCTGATCCAATAGCGCACACTCTAGTTCCACATGGATGGTTTGACCTTTGCTGACTGTTCCTGAATCCGGCCAAATTCGGGGCAGACAGAATTCCGGTTGGCATCAATTCTGCCAACTGCCAATGTTCCACCAAGAAAAAATAATGTCAGCATCAGTAAATTCAAAGGGAACACCCAAGTGCAAGCTTCGAAGTCTTATGTATGCATGTGATTTCATATAATAAGTGCAGAAATGAAAAGCTCACATTAATTAACGAGAATTGACACCACTATGGCACTTTGAGTGATCGGTTTGAGGTGGGGCCCTGCCTTGCATCCAAAACAGGACGTACTTTGCACGTCTTTGTCCTGCTGCTTTTAGATCACAACTCGTTCACCGAACCACTTCGCCATGGCACTGTGGAAATTACTCCTGGCTTGCCTCCACCAAGTGGATGCTTTGGACAATGGACTGGGATTGCTCCCACAGATGGGCTATAACACTTGGAATGATTTTGAATGTGAGGGTGTTTCTGCCAAAAACATTTCAAAGGTAGCTGACAAGATGGTCGAATTAGGACTGCCAGCTTTGGGCTATGAATATTTGATCATAGATGACTGCTGGGCAGATCACCGTGGAAAAGATGGAAAGCTCGTGCCCGATCGTAATGCCTTCCCACACGGTATGAAGCACGTGGCGGACTATGTCCACAGTAAAGGCTTGAAGTTCGGCATCTACATGGACCGCGGGCGATGGACTTGTGCTGGGCGGCCAGGAAGCCAGGGCTATGAGGAGGTTGATGCCAAAACCTTCGTCTCTTGGGGAGCGGATTATGTGAAGACGGATTCCTGTAATGGTCCAGACTCCTTGGAGGATCCGCCTTCCGCTGCGGCAATTGCGCAGTATCAGCTCTTCCGAGATGCCTTGAATGCAACGGGTCGTCCCGTTTTTCTGGCTTTATCTGGGTGGCACAACTGGTATAGTCCTTACGGGGAAAGCCTGGCAAACTCCTGGAGGATCGGCTATGATGTCCGGAACTGGCAATCAGCGTGGAACTTTGCGATTCGTGTCAATGGTTTCCTCTCAGACTTTGGTGGCCCTGGTGGATGGAATGACCCTGATATGTTGGTGGGATCTTCCAGTAAAACAGCCGTGCAGATGACCCCACAGCAATCGCGCACTCAGTTTTCACTCTGGTCCGTTATGGCAGCCCCTTTGCTGCTTGGATCCATGCTGTCAATGGGCCATCATGATCTTGAAACCTACACCAACACCGAAGTGATTGCTGTAGATCAAGACCCTTTGGGCATTCAAGGTGAGATCGTTTGGGAGAACTGCCCCCTGCGCAAGCGCACCAATATCAAACAGTCGCAGTTCTATGACGAGATACCAGCTTGTCAGCAAGTGTGGGCCAGGCCGATCACAGACGGTTTCGCCATTGCTACTTGTTTGTGCAGGTGTTTTTTTGATTTGTTTTGATTTAGATCTCTCGGCTTCTTTGATCACTTCAAAGCAGAATTGTAGATGATTCCTGTTTGTCGCTGTTGAGAGCTTCAAGTTGGCTTCAGCTGAGGTCCTTTTAAATCTGGATGCCGAGAAGCCTGCAAATGTCAGCTTCGCAGTCTCTGATGTTTGTTGGTCCAGTCAGGCTTTTGTTGGAAAGCCTTGCAATTTCTTTGAAGAAGCTTCAGTGAGGGACTTGTGGAGAAAAGAACACCTGGGCATCAGAAAGTTTATCAACGTGACCTTGGCCCGAGATGGTGCATCTCAAATGTTCAAGATCAAACCAATCATCCCTCAAGCTCCACACACAAGCGCGAAGAAGAAGACACCTGCGTCTTCAGGAGCTCGTTTTCAGGAAGTTTTCATAATGTTTTAATATATTTTATATGGAGAGATGATGAGAGATGTATCTTCTTGCTCTAACACAGGAACCACCCTCACCACAGGCAGGTGTCCAGACTAGGATAGTCGTACCGAGAAGGAGCGCTCAGCAGGGTGAATTGTGGTCTTGGGATGTGGTGGTCGATCGAAAGGTCGACATAAGGCCTATGTCGCTGAGAGCTAAGTCTCCCAAAGAGTGAGCAAGTCCAAATGATACTTTCACACACCTCTTCAATTCAAGTTGTCCACGAAGGTTTTTTCTCGAGTTCGCGAAAGTAAATGGTTTGTTCGCGAAAGATCTTTCGTCTATATATTTAGACTGTCCTTCACTCAGGAGTAGCTTTGATTCCTGACTTTCGATGCGGTCTTTAGGTTTCAAGCTCCAGGTGATTTGGCTTGGCCATGGCTCCTAGGCACAGTCAGTCATCAGTGGCACATTCACAAGCCTTTACACTCCACATTATATCGCTGACACTTGCGATGCACAATCCCAAGGCTGTATAGTAACTCTTTTGTTGTTTTGCTTTGGGCCTAGAAACCCACGACATTTGTTTGGCGAAAGATCCGCGAATGCATAGGCGAATGTGAAGGCCTGTTTTGTGGCCCCCTGCCCAAGCCAAGCAGCGAAAGACCTAGCAAGACATGTGCAGTTGATAGCGTGCTCGTCCAAAACAAACAAGACAAACAGATGGAAGTGCTTAATTAGGCTGCTATGTAGACCCACTAAACTAAACTAAGAAGATTTCTAGAGGATAAAACCCCCAGAGGATAAAACCCCCCGCGAAAGCGTGAAAGACTTGCGAAAACAGACCAAACCTTTTCGGCGAAGAGTGGCCTTTCAGCAAGAAGGAATATTGATCAACCACCATGTGTTGGGATACTCCAATGCTCAACCGCACCAGGGTTATCACGGTTCGTTCTAGGAAAATGAGGAAAACAACCTGTGACCTGTAACTACTGTGGAGAAAAGATGAGAAAAGCTGGCCCGTCCTAGTTCATGTCGCAGAAGTGCTTTGATGGTCACCACTCAGGTCGACGGCGACTGGACATCGCCCGAAGTCGCGCCACAGGGAGCCCGTCTCTTCGCACTTTTCGGTCGCACTGGAGACTGATGCGGTGCATTTCCTACAGCAGCCCGACGAGCTTTGAGAAATGTGCTCTCGCCATCTCGCCATGTCTGGACATTTGTGCTGAAGAGCTAAGAAGAGCTCCAGAATCCTGCCCGTTTGGAACTGCGACTTTCCCTTTAAGAGGTCATTTAGTCGGTTCTTGAGCGGAGCTCGCTGATTGACTGGAATGGATTGAAAAAGTTGGTGCTGAATTGGAAGAATGGGAATCCGAACTATGATCTGGAGATTGTGCTATTTACCCAGTCTCTTCATCCCTCCTACTGAGGGATATCAACAACATAAACAACTAAGAAGCAATGCTCAGCAAACTCAAATTCCAAGTGGTTTGGGTGTCGTTTTCGTGTCAGGCTCCTCCAGGAAGGTGCGCCGGCGACCCAAAGTGTGTGTTTATTGGGTAGGGCTTCAGAATGCCACAGAAGGTCCCTTCATACTTTGTGCCTTCGAACAAAAAGTTCTGGTACATGTGTCTTTGCAGCTCCACTCGACTCAAAATCACTTGGTAATCCTTTTTGTTTTGGTTTGCTGAGTGCGATCACCAAATCTTCCAAACTGCAAGCACAGATATTATTGTCTATGAACAATATTAACAGAGGTCTAGTTTACTGTAGTTGGGTACAAGTCGGAGCCACCATGATGGTTGCTTCACCTATGTAAAGGCCACTCATGTTGTACGAACAATTGTTTAGAAACTCATAGGACAAGGAAATGATGTTGGGCCACGCTGGCAGGCCTGGCTGATGCGGATGAAGGCCAGTGAAGCATGACATCCTTGCCATTTGCTGTGTCCACTGGACACATTCTGTCCATTTCTGTCCATTCTGTCCTCTGCCAATGTCCGCAGAAGATTGCTGCAATTCCATACCAAACCACCACCCTCGAGCAGCCTTTGGAACCACAATCAAGCACAACTTTCTCCACCAGGTTCCACCTTGGCGGTGGCAAGAGTGAGGACTGCTAGAGTGGAAAAGCTTATATTGAATCATCGTAAATCAAAGTGTGAATATCACAGGAAAAAAACTATACATATCTATACTATATATGCGAGCTTGAAGACAGGTGTGTTATATCCTTTGCTGCAATGCCAGTATTTACTAGGACTTGTCGGGCCCATGCGTTGATAGATCTTAAATACTGTGAGAAGCTGTCTTTAGTGATCTTCTCTTGGTGAAGTGCCCATGAAGTTACGTTATGTGTTTGGCAGTAATTAGTGGGGCTACAACTGCTCAACACGTACAATTCAATGATGTTCAACTCGAAGAAGGACAATGTCCAAACACCAGAGCTCCGGCTTTCAGAGGGGTTGCAGTTCGCTAAGGTTTGTTCTCACAATTTCTGACCGTCATAAATATCCCCTGTTCCAAAACACCTACAATTCATCAAAAGCATCCTGCCATTTCTTGGCGATCACATGCAGGAAGTTGCTCAGGCGTTTGAACGTCAAGGCCTTGACGCCACGAATGGTTTGGTAACTCAGCCTGCTAGAGAATGTTTGGGACAGTTGTATCAACTTCACACCCCTACCATCCTCAAGAGAATACGCCAATTATTCTTTATAGATGTATATATAACTATATATGCGAAGATGGCCTATTTGGTAGACTGCATGTTGCATCGGGAAGGTTCTTGTTGGGTCTCAAAATGAGAAGTGCAATGAACAAATTTTCTCAGCAAATGCCTTCATCTATCCTGCCCACAATGGAACTCCCGCAAGCGACTCGTGTCTTGAAATATTGAGACTGGGGAGATGGCCTTGAGAATGCCGTGGGTGAAGAGTTTGCCCATCCCCCCTTTGGTGCGATTGAACTGGTTGTTGCGTTTGCTATCTTCCAAACTGGCCCTGTGTATGCATGTTTCAGTAATCAGAAGCACACCACTTGAGTTACAACTGGCTTCTCTTTTCTCATCGGTCTATTCTGTACTCCCTTCCAGCTGAGGTGGTGCAAGACATATTGGGACCGCTCTTTGCAGGCTCAGAAGCCCAGCGAGACTGACAGCATCATGAAACCTCATTTGTTGGTTTTCAGCAAAAGGTGTTGAATCCTTTTTGGGGAGGAAAAGACCTGCAAACGACCAGGTTGCTTTTGGGGGGTCAAAGCCCATTCCGAGGTCAAACCGTGCCCTGCATCATTCCGGCTTCGGAGGTGTGAAGAGTAGAAAGACTCGGTTTGTTGAATCCAGAAGAATCTACTCAACTCATTGCAATGTGGTCCTTGTGACGAGGGTCGGCATGGTAGTGAAAGGATGTTAAAGGTGTCTCAACAGACGACAGAAGGGGGTGTTAACCCAGCGACATCACATGCAACTTCTGTGAAATTGCTGAAAATTGCTGAAACGTGAAACTGAAGCTGCGAAAAGGTCAACAAAAGGTGAAAAGGGAGCATGCTTGCAGGCTCCACGCCCCGTGCCAGCTCTTTTGGCTCTTGGTGGCTTTTTGGCTCCTTGGAAAACAAGTTCTCTTCACTTTGAGCTGTGGACTAGTCGGTGTCCGTTGCAGAACGAATGCTGTTGGACTTGGTGGGTTGTAGATGACATATGATAGCTATATATATATAACTATACAGTATATATAGTTGTTGTTTGCTCCGACAAGCTACGTTGTGAGGTGACCCATCGACATTTGGCCGATGCACTCAGTGGCGCTGTTGGGTGGCCCTTGAAGAACCTCGATCAGGCACCGCGTTCCGGAAGGTGGCCGCATTCACATTGGCATGCGAGAATTGATCGTTTGACAATAGGATTCATGCAAAAAACAGGAGTGTTATTATAAACGATATAGACCTACACTCAGATCATCTCACGAAGTCCATCTAAGTCCCAAGAAACACCAAAATGGCAAGGCCTGGTGGCCAGGCCGGGCCAGGCCTCATGAATTCCCTCCTGTCTTGAGGTGGCTGTTGGTCGTCCATGTTCAGCGCCCGCACTGCACTCGCACAACATCGACTTCGAGGAGGTTCATTTGGACAGACCAAACTCTTGCGGACAATCGACTTACAATGACTTGCCTCACCCCGAAAAAGCACATCCTGGGCATGAAAACGAGCAAACCTGATGTCCAGATTGTTGGGAGCCTGGCTTATTATATGTCTCATCAAATTTGAAGTTTGGGATCAGTGAAGATACTTGCGTTTTTGCGCTCTTGGGACACTCCATGGGCCATTTCGTTGGACAGGCAGCCAAAGGAGTGCTGGAGCTGAAGCTTGCAGCGGTTGGGCGCCCATGTCACGTCAGTGTCAAAGCTGCGACGCTTTCTGGCTCCCCAAAGACTGATTCCAGGCCAAGCATTGGGGAGGGTTGTTGAGCGGGGTCTATGTTGGACGCACGGAGTTCAATACCTTTTGCATCCTTTTGCATACATTGCCTCAAGAGGTTTGTGGTCTTCCTTTGAGCGCCATGGCCAGCACAACGCATACCACGTGGACCAACCAGACTGTAGACCTCCTGAAGACCAATTTGCACATAGATTGCAAGCCAGTCTTGAAGCAGCTCATTCCTGACACTCTCGAAAAGGGTATTCGCTTGGTCTCACTCCAGACCAAGCCCACTGAAGGTTCCAGGCATTTGCGCTTGGATGCTTGGTACTACATAAGGCGAGTGAGTGTGGAGGATGTCCTCCGAGCTCTTCGCGACACCGGCTTTTGGACACAGTGGTTGCAGAAGGAAGTGGAGCGGGTGATGGAAACGCAGAAGGTCTACCACGTCGTAGTCCGTGGGAACGATCCAAAGTTCATGCCTCTAGGCATTCGCGATGGGCAAGATGTTGTTACGGACTATATTGTTGAGGGGTTTGAGGCGATTCTGGAAGAAGTGGACAAATATCTGTTCGAAGAGCTATCTGACCCTGCCAGCGTTCGGCTTGCAATGGCAGATCACTCCTTCGATCAGATGCTACGGGCGTACTACCTGAACGGGAAGCAGGACAAAGATGCGACCCTGCATCTTGTGGGTCGGCTCCGGGGCGGCTCAAACCTCCTCCACACTTGCATCAAAGAGGGGTACGTTGAGACACTGAGGCTACTCTTGAAAACATGAAAAATCACAAAGGCATCATGTCCCTTAATTAAGTCCAAAAACATGTGACAGAACTCCAGCCCCCTTGAACCTCAGGCTGCTTCTCGACGAGTTCACCATAGAATCTCAGAGTCTTGCTCCCTGGAGAGCCTTGGCAGAGCCTTTGCGCCCTGTCGGGCAGTTCAAGGTTTCTGCCTTCCACCGTGCCGTCTTCGATGGCCGCCCCGAATGCCTTCAAGAGTTGGTGCTGTGGGCACTACGACATGGGCATGATATCAAGGAGCTGCGAAACGTGGAGGAGCGTAATGATTATGCTGCGCCCACCAAGGGGTTGACCTGTTTGGAACTGGCTGAACAGTCCAAGAACATGCTTTGCTACAACATCTTAGCGCCACTTTTTGGAGTTTTGGCCAAAGAAGGCGCAACTGATGTAAATCCACGCGAGGTCCGCGTGGAGCAGAGGGCCTTGCCTCGGGTTGAAGCCGAGTCACAAGGAACACCTCTCTTTGTTTGCTTGGCTGATGAGAAGCACGATTGGGCGTGGGTGATCGAAGTCATCAAGTCTTTCAAAAAGGAGAAGATGCAATCCTTTGATTCCAGCCAAATTGTGATAAGATTGGAGAACTTGATCCTCGAGGAGGATGCCACGGAAGTCCAGGCCGAGGAGCTCCTGGCAGAAACTGCTGACATGCACCTTGAGGCCAATGCATGCACATGGAAGACGGATAGAACCAACCTCAACTTCTTCAAGGTCGTGGTGGATCGTCTATCCACGCCCTCCACCGATCATCTTCCAGCCCTCTTGCCGCGGAAGGTGCAAATTCCTTCCGTGGCCGCGGAGGATTTGTCAGCGACGGAGGAGGAAGATGTCGATTTGGAGGTGTGTGGACCAAACCAGACTCCTCAGAATTAAGCCCTAGGAAACCAAAACACGTTGCCTACCAAGAGTATGCATTTTGTTGTTTGAAGTGCTTTTTGTATTCTTCTGATTGATTGGCCATAGAGATTCCAACCAGATTCCAACCTCAAGTTCTTACTTCTGCAAGGTGGGACAACTATTCCTACAATATGTGGCAATTTGCGGCCGGTGGCTGGGCTTCGTGGGTGCCCACGTCATCACTTCCAAGCAGCTTGCGCGGTTGACAAAGCAAGGGACAGAAGCCTAGGCAGCAGGCACGGCTGCCGTTTATGCTACGTATCTTGGATTCGCTGAAGTTTTTCTTTACTCGCTACCAATATTAACCTACGGTGACAGAGACGCTCCAAAGATAGGCAAATTCTCCCTATACAGATTTGGCATATTCTAAAGTTGTGGAAACCACGACTCGCGCAAAGGGGAATGTCATGTGAAGATCATAGCTAGGTACAGATAGGTAGCTTGACATGATTGCTTTCATGCATGAACCCGCACCGCAGCTTGACTCAAGCGACTTGCGTTGGAAACACCGCGTGTTTCGTTGCGCCTTTGCCCCGCGTTTTCTTTCTTGCTGACGCTACCCTGCGCACTCCGCATTGGTAGCGGAGCTCCTGATCTTCGATCGGGGGCTGATGGCCGAGCATGCAGGCTCGGGGGCGGCAGCCCATGAGTGGGAAGATGCTTCTTCCCAGACCCACTCTGCGCCTGGAGAGGGGTCGCCCGCGGCGACCCCCAGGAGGATGTCAGCGGCATCCGATGGTGCAGTTCATGGAACGCCACAAGGCACACCTGGATCAGCACAGTCAGCTCCGGCGGCGCCCGCAAGACGCATGGGTGGCAAAGGTAAGGGTTGGACACCTTCGATGCCACCTCCGCAGATGCCTGTTCCTCCAGCATACACCCAACCTTACCCGGCCATGTCACAGCTGCGATGGGAACAGGATGTCTATGGGCACTGGTGGTACAGCGATGGGCAACATTGGTGGTATGGCCATGGAGGTTCACATCGCTTCACTGCACCACCAGCTGGAACCATCCCCACGGCAACGTCGAGCATTGGAGCTTCTTGGCAGTATGTCAACCCTGAGACTACGAGGCATCCCTCAGGGTCAAAGCCACCACGAGAACCTGCACATCCCAAGAAGCCATCCAAGCCGGAGTCACAGAAGAAGTCTCCGAATAAGAAGAAGCCTCCGGCAAAAGAGAAGAAGAAAGCACCTCCTCCTCCACCAGAGGAGGATGAAGATGATGATGACGACGATGATGGTAGTGAAGGTGGAAGCAGTTCATCCTATGAGGAAGTGGAGTATGAGGAGAGTGAAGAAGAGGATGGGGAGTTCACAGATGATCCAAGTGTGGCTGCGACCCCAAGAGGAACTCCAAGAGCTGCACAGACGCCGAAGGCCGCTGCCAAGGCGAAGCAAGCAGCAAAACCAGCTGCAAAGCCAAAACCGGCAGCGCCGGCAAAGGCAAAAGCTGGGAAGTCTCGCCCAGCAGATCCTCCGAAGGATCCACAACCGCCGAAGGCCTTCCATCGGGCGGCCAAGGTTGTGAAGAAGAAGCCCAAGGTCGAGAAGGACCAAGATCCGCCTTCTGCACCGCCCTCAGGTCCACCATCCCATGGTGGTTCGGCAGCGCCGTCGGAGATTAGTACCGTGCGTACTGAATCCATCAAGGAACTGCTGAAGGGCAGGCCAGGCAGTTCAGGTGAGCGCAACCGCACCAACCTTGGGCAGGTCAAGCTCGAGGTCTTCAAGGGCGACAGGGCCCATTACAGGAACTGGATCAAGACGATTCAGGCACAACGTACGGCAGCTATATCAACTTCAAGATGAAGAATTGGCCGTTTTGATGTTCCTCAGTTGCGAGGGCGAAGCTCGTGAAGCGCTGAATCAACTTGAGATTGAAGACATGAGGTCAGCAGGAGGCCTCAATCGAGTACTTCGCCTTCTCGAGGACGCCTATGGTGCAAAGGCTGATGAACGCTTCGAAGAGAAGCAATCGGAGTTCATGTCATACAGACGCCTCCCAGGCCAGAGTGTGGCGGCCTATCTGGCCACTTTGAAGAGGTTGAGAACAGAATACCTCAAAGAAGAGCCTGGCTCAGTGATCTCAGACAGGGCGTTCGCCCAGAGGATGCTGTCTCGAGCCGCGCTCACTCGCAGAGAACGATATGATGCGTTTGTTCTTTGCAGCCGGAGGTGCTTACAAGTCTGCTGACATCGAACGGGTGCTTCAGGTGCAGTCAACTTCACTTGGATGAGCGCAAGCCTACAGCTCATCGAGAAGACCGCACAGCACCAATCCGGAGGCCGCCGCCTCGGAAGTCGGTCAAGCGAACAGACCGCAGGGGTCCTTACAAGCCAACCCGCCATACACACTGGGCGGATGCAGAGGACGACTGGGAGTACGATGATGAGGAGGACTCCTTCGGAGACCCAGACAATGAGGATCTGAAGCCCTCATGGCAGAAGAAGACATGCCGGAAGAAGAGGCATATGAAGATGATGAGGGCTACTACGATGACGATGATGAGGACCTGGACACGGTGGATCGAGGTGCCCTCCAAGAAGCTTTCTCCGCCGGCTGGTCAGCCAAGTCCAAGACGGCCCAACAACGCAAAGGCCGTGGCTACAAGGGAGATGGCAAGCCAAAAGGTAAAGGAAAGGGCAAGAGCAAACGACCACCAGATACCAGGACCCCCGATGCCAGGAAGAAGAACTCCACCTGTGCCAGCTGCGGCCAACGAGGCCAATTGGAAGGGTGATGAGGTATGCCCAAATGTCCGCTCAGGTAAAGATGCAGTTCACCAGAAGCGCGACAATGAGGCCCATTTCAATACGGGCACTCACAAGGGGCAGCGCCATCCCTCAGCAGGACCCGCCAGGCCAGTGAAGTGAACCACCGCCTGAGCGTGAGCCACTTCGCAGGAGGCCGCAGCCTCTGCCAGACCGGCGGCGACCGGCAGAACCCTCGTATCCACCTCCGGAGAGGGAGCGAACGGGTACCAAGCGCCGCAGCGACAGGGGTTACTATGATGACTACGATGATGAGGTGCCGAAGATCCCTGAGCCGGGTACAAAAGGCCTGTCGGCCAAGATCAAAGCTCGACGACCAGGTGAAGAAGAATATCTGTGGTCTTTGATAGCATCCAAGATGCCATTGACAGTACAAGAACGTCACCGCCTCCATCTCCGTTGATGAAGCCCCGTCCTGCTAAGCAGATCTGGCCCAAACCACGAAAGGCCAAACCTCAGCCCGCGGCAGAGCAACAGACCAAACCACCGCCAGCGGCAGAGAGAGAGGCAGCAGAACCGGCACCGCTGCCGATCCGAGACCCAGAGAAGTTTCGAGAGAGGCGACGGCGTCGCCGTTCAGAAGGTGAGCCAGGTGAGGCACGCCCTGAAGGTGAGCACCGGCGGCGCCGGAGGAGGAGCAAGCCGGAAATGGCTGAGCCGGTCGATGTGACAAGACCAGCTCCACCAGAGGCTCCAGCTCCCTCAGAAGAAGCTTCCAATGCCACAGAGGCAACAAGGGAAGCAGCAGCAGATACAACAACCGCAACTGCTGCATACAAGGCAGGTCAATTGGACCATGATGCATGGATGGGAGCGAATCCGACGGTACCAGTCCGATGATGAGGAGGTGGATAGCAGCTCAAGTGCAGCCTCAGAAAGTGAAGAAGAGGACCTGGCCTACCACCTCAAGCTGTCGGAGAGTTCGCAAGCCTCCCAATCCAAGCAAGCAAAGGAGAAGATTAAAGTGAAGCTTCTCACGGTGCTACGCTCACTGCTGGAGGATGAGAAAGATGAAGAGACCATCCAGCGGCTCCGGAAGAAGGAGAAGCGCCTTGCAGAGCGTGCCACAGCCAGGGCTACCGGTGCAACATCGAGCACAGAAGCTCGCCCAAAGGCCAAGCCCAAGCACAAGAAGCCAGAGCGCTTGGAGGAGGATGTTGGCCTGAGCACCGAAGACCTGGTGAAGGTGCTCCCCAAGACGTCCAAAGAGGAGAAGAAGATCCTCTATAAGCAGCTGAAGAAGGACCAGGAACGCGAGATCCTCGAGATCTTTGGCCGCTCGGCAACCCCGGAGCGGTCCATGTTGAAGCGCCCTGAGCAGCGCAAGGGCGGCTATGGCTACTCCACGCCTGATCGACGTGGCAAGGATCAGGTTCAAGAGCCACCAGAGAAGCAGGAGAACCTGCCAACTCCAGTCAAGAAGAAGAGATTGGAGGAGTTCCGCAAGTCCTTGTATGAAGCTGCGCTCGACAAGCGAGGACGCTTGATCCCAACGGCTGACCAGGAGGCGTGCCGCCACAAGTTCGATCGCCTGGTCTGGGGAGCAAATGCCCATGCACATTGGGCCACATGCAAGGACTGCAAGCTGCGCAAAGTCCTGTACTACAGCACAGTCCATGGTGCAATGGCAGCCACGGCCGCGCCGAGCTGCAAGGCGGCAGCCCCAACACAAGAGGAGTACCGCGAGGCCATGATGCAAATGAACATGCCTCCAGGTCACGTGATCCTCGACACAGGTTGCCGAACAGCAGTAGCCGGCAAGCTCTGGCATGTTGATTTCCAGCGTGCATTGGAGCAGTGTGGCATGGAATACTTCATGGCGGACCATGAGGAGATCTTCCGTTTTGGAGCTGGTGACCCTGTCTTGTCAACCAAGGCGTACATCTACCCCGTCCAGATCTATGACCACAAGAGTTGGGTACGCATTGCCCTGGTTGAGAACACCAGCACGGACAGCAGGGTATCAGAATGCCCCGCACTGGTGGGTCCGGCAGAACTGGCACGTTGGAAGGTGCAGATCGACTTCGCAACCCTGCAGGTTGGCATTCATGGCACTTGGAGGCCTACAGTGATGTCTCCTTCCAGGCACCCGATCTTGGGTTTGCTCAATATGGGATCACACCCGAATCCCAAACAGTGGCGCATCAAGCCTTTGGAAGAACTCAGGCAGCGCCTGTTGAGCGATCCACACTCCTTCGCATTGGTTCAAGATGCCCTGGACAGCATCTCTGACTCTGGAAGTGAGGTGCCACAGGAGGTCCTAAAGGTCGCTGTACATGGACCTGAAACCCAGCAGCAGCTGGCTATGTGGCAGGAGACGATGGAGGATGAAGCAGTCGAGACATTGGATGCCATCAACGCCCCAAAGGTCTTCAAGCCACAACTGGATCCCATGAGCTCAGATGAGGGCTCTATCAGCGAGGGCGAATCTGAGACCTCGCATGATCCCGACTACCAGGACGAGGACTCCACAACCAGCAACGAGACAGAGGCTGAAGAGGAGTTCCACGAGATCTTGACATCTGGCTGCGCCGGTGAGACAGAGATCCTGAGCAAAGGCCAGCGCCGCAGGATCCTGGCTGCTGCCAAAGGCATCAGCGAGGCTGCAATGGCAGAAGCTGAGCGACGCTCCTGCCCGGAAAAAGTGCCTCGCATTCGTCGCCTTCGCACAGGTTACAAGATCCTAGAGATCTTTACCTGGAGTTGCCTCCTGTCAAGGTTTGCTTATGGTTTGGGTTGGGAGTATTTGGAACCCCTGACACTTCCAGGTTGGGATCTCAAATCCCCAAAAGTTGAGAAGGAAGCATGGGATTATCTCCACCGTGTGAACCCTGATTTCATCGCGGTTGCATGGCCATGCACGGAATGGACCATCATGCAAAACGCCAACCAGAGGACGTGGACACAAAAACAGGCACTTCTAGCACGGCGAGTTGAAGCTCGCAAACTACTTCGATTCACCCGCAGAGTCACATTGTGGCAGGTTCGGAGCGGTCGGGCCATTCTGGGTGAGAACCCACTGCTTTCATTGGCATGGAAGGAACCTGACATCATTGACGCCTTCGGTCATCCGGAAGAAGCTATTTGCGATCAATGTCAGTATGGACTTCGCCATCCAGAAAACGGCATGCCTATCAAGAAGCCCACGAGGTTTGTGGGTCAAGCTGAAGTAGTTTCGGAACTCCACCACCGTTGTCCTGGTGATCATCAACATCACCAGATTGAGGGCCCTGTCAAAACCAGTGCCTATGGCAGAATTTCGCTTTCCTCTTGGGCAGGTGGCTACCCCCTGCCGCTGTGCCGCGCCATCATGCGAGCCGCGCACACCTTCTTGGACAAGCAGGCCAATGACACCCGCACAGAGGTCTATATGTTGGATGACCAGGTGCCAGAAGAGGCAATCCAAGAAGGAGAGGAAGGCATCGATGAGGAAGAACAACGTATTCAATCCTACAAGGATGAGAGCGAGGATGATCTTGAAGAGGAGGAGAGGCGACCCATCTCTCAAGAGGTGAAGAGGGCTGTTGAATTTGCCCATCGGCAGTTGGGCCATCCCAGCAGGGATACACTTGTTCGCATGCTGCGAATTTCAGGAGCTAATGATGATGCAATCCGGCACGCTCGCCGATGGCGTTGCGATGTCTGCAGGATGCAACAGCCACCAAAGCATCCACTCGCCACAACCGCCACTTCAAGACCATTTGCTTTCAACCGAGTTTTGCACATTGACATCAAGTATCTCTTCGACACCCAGGGTCGGAAGTATCCTTGTTTGAGTATTGTTGACCTTGGAACTGTGTACCATGCAGGCTGCATGCTGAAGACCAGAAGGTCAGACTACGTCGCCCGCAAATTCTTGGTTCACTGGGTACAACTGTTTGGAGCCCCAGGGCACATTTATCATGACCAAGGCGGCGAGTTCGAACTGTCTTTTACACAGCTTTTGGAGCAAATGGCTGCGCCCAGCACACTCACCGGATCGCACGCCGGTTGGCAGTTGGCCGTCGGAGAACGGCATGGGGGAATCTTGGGAACCATGGTTGGAGCAATCACAACCGAGCACGTCACAGAAGGTTTCCATGGTATGAAGTTGGCATTGAGCTCAGCGCTGGCAGCCAAGAACATGACCATTACCCGTGATGGTTTCAGCCCCAACCAGAGGTTGTTTGGAACCGCTATCCCAGTCTTTTGGAGGACGATGTCAAGCCTAGCTTTGCAGAAAGCTTGGACACCGAGACTGAGTTTGCAAGATCCCACCGTATGAGAACTACTGCCAGGTTGGCGCTGATCCGGATGGATGTCCAGGAAAAGATGAAACGGGCCATTTTGAGGAAGCCCGGTGTGGACACAGAAGGTCCATATGTTCCTGGATGCCAGATTTACTTCTGGGTGCCCAAGAAAGCTTCAAAAAGATACAGTCGAGGAGGTATCTGGCGTGGACCTGCAACAGTTTTGGTTCGTGAAGGACACCAACGCTATTTTGTTAGCTGGAGAGGACGCGCCTTGCTCCTTGCAACGCCAAACATGCGTTTGGCTACAAAGGAAGAACTGGCCATGAATGAGTCCGCAAAAGAAGATGCAGAAACCATTGGCCAGATGCTTCGCGATCCAGAGCGTGATAACGCCTATCACGACCAAACCCATTTCAGAGGAGCTCCCAAGCGGAAGCACATCAGAGATGACCCTGAGCGTAAACGTGCCCGATTGATGATGCGAGGCACCAAGTCAATCCGGGAGTTGCTCAAGAGCCGGTTTGGCTTCAAAGAACAGCTCAGGAAGCGCAAGGTGCAGCCCCAGCCGCCAGAGAAAGGAGATCCGGTAGCACCGAGGAAGAAAGTTAAGAAGGCCCTACCTCCACCGCCTGCGGCGGAGTCTCAAGACTCAATGGAGGAGTATACACCTTCTCAAGCACCAGAGCCAGAGGCTCCACAGGAAGGCCAGCGGCCTATGCTTCCTGCTCCAAGTTCAGCTCCAGCGGAGCCACCTACAGAAGCCCCGCGAGCTGAAGATGTTCCGGTGCCACCCATGGATGAGAATGAGTGGTTGGAAGAATACAGACATCTCCCTCAGGAAGAACGCCGTCGCATTCTTCAAGACGATGTCCCACATGGGATCAAAAGGAAAGGTGGCATTACTGAAGAGGATGCTGACCGAGCAGTGAAGCGCCTCAGAAGCAACTTCTGCGCAGCGACTGCAGCCAGCACTGTGTATGGAACCCTACAGAATGAGTGGGTTTCTCGTTATGAAGTAGAACTGCTAAGACAGCTGACAGGGTTGCCAGTTACAGCAGCCCGCATTCACAGAGCACCACGGAAGAGGCTGCAACGACCCCCGAAGATGGTGTCGCGCTCCCGCTTGAGTATCCTCATTGGAAAGGATCCAGCAAGCACTTTCATTGTCAACGAGAAGGATGCAGAGGTTGCAGCCCATCCCCGTCGGCGAGCCAGCTTCGAGTGGCGGGGTCTTACGATGTTCTATCGCACTGAAGACCCAAGCAAGCCTACGGAGGTATTTGTCGAACTGCCAGACGGCATTCATGGGGTGACGCTCATCACCAGTGAGGCAGCAGAGTTCCAGCAGATGTGGCTGGAAGAAATGCACGATACCCTCCTTGCTGAAGTGATGATTCTAAGGATGAAACAGAGTGGCAAAGAGCTGGACCCTAGCTTCTTTGACACCTTCGAGCGACAAGCCTTCAACAAATCGGACATCAAAGAATGGTCCGAATGGATCAAGAATAATTAAAGTTGTCCGGAGGGTGGAAAAAGGCGAATATGTTCCGCCTTCGTGCATCTTTAGAGCGCCGCTGCGCATGTTACGGGTGAACAAAGCAGCAAGCCCACTTCTCCCTTTGGTGGCCAAGTCACGGCTGATTGTACCAGGTCATTTGGACCCACACCTGGGTGAGTTCCGCACTGACTCACCTACTTGCCCTCAGGCTGCAGTTCGAGCAGCAAAAGCTATTGCTGCTGCCCGCGGATGGGGAGGAGTGACATTCGATGTCACAACTGCATTTTTGAGCGGGAAGGAAACTTCTCGTAAGCTGTACATCCGAGCACCTCGCGAGGGTTTGCCACCGGCAATGGGATGGCCACCCATCAAGTCAGGAGAGTTGCTTGCGATTCTCAAAAGTGCCTATGGTCTCACAGAGTCCCCAAGGTTGTGGTACCTGGAGGCAGTGGATCGACTTAAGGGCACTCCCCTCAAAGAGCTAGCAGTTAGCCGCTCTACTTTTGTTGCCGGAGGCTCCCGGAGTGATCGGTGTTTGGAAGATAGCTGGGCAATTCTTTGCTTACACGTTGATGATGGTTTATTGCTTGGCGATCTCAGCGACCCTCGGGTCATCGCCCTACGCAAACAAATCGACAACCTGTTCACCATCAAGGAATGGAAAGAAGTCACTGCAGAGAAACCAATTCAATTCCTGGGTGTTGAAATCACTAGGGATCCCTCTGGATTTCATGACGACATGAGCAGGTACATCAAAGAAATCAAAGTCGAGAAGCTGCAAGGGGAAGGTCTTTTGGGACCTCGTGAAGTCACACTATACCGCCAGTTGGTTATGCGTCTTCGTTGGCCGGCACAGCAAACAATGCCACACATGCTGTACGAAGTCTCCAACCTGGCGCAGAGGGTGACAAAGGCAACCCACGCAGACTACAAGGAGGCAGTGAAACTGCATCAAAAGTTTGTGGAAGAAGCCAATGCTGGACGAGCCAGATTGACCTATCCACCGCTGGACAAGAACAACAAGTGGTTCTATGTCAGCTACTTCGATGCGTCCCTCGGAAAAGAGTCCGATGGAAAGTCACAGCTGGGCGCCGTACACTTTCTCACCACAGCAGCAGCTCGTACAGGACCGGCCGCCGCCGCGCCAGTTGAATTCAGTACGAACAAGAGTTCTCGAGTGCTGCGCAGCTCGATGTCTGCCGAAGCATGCTCAATGAGCATTTGCGTGGACCGCCATTTGTATGGTCGACTTGTTATCGACATGATGCTCTACGGGCACAAGACTCTGGATGAGAATTGGCGGACCACAATGGGAATTTCTGGAGGCGTTGTCACTGACGCCAAGAGCCTGTATGACCACATGGGTACTACAGGACAGATCCCAACAGAGCGGCAGACCATGCTTGACTTGATGGTGGCTCGTGACCACCTCGAGTCAGGTGCCTACGAACTTTTCTGGGTTCCAACTCACCGCCAACATGCAGATGGGTTGACCAAGAAGATGAAGAACATCCTATGGGAGACCTTCTGCAAGCTCCCCAGGATTTCTCTCAAGGAGACCGAGGACGAGCGAAAGCTAGAGGAGCACAGGAAAGGTTTGAGGAAGGCACAGCGACAGCGTCGCAAGGACCGCATGAAGGGCCGCGAACCTTCTGAGGCAGCGCCTGCTCGTGTACAGTATGTACAGCTGCAATCACGTCAACACACTTTTCTGGCTATGTGAAGATCATAGCTAGGTACAGATAGGTAGCTTGACATGATTGCTTTCACGCATGAACCCGCACCGCAGCTTGACTCAAGCGACTTGCGTTGGAAACACCGCGCGTTTCGTTGCGCGTTTGCCCCGCGTTTTCTTTCTTGCTGACGCTACCCTGCGCACTCCGCACGTCATTCGTATCAGCCAATTCAAGGCGCTTATCGGCATTCCTTCGGCATACGCAAGATGTGGATGGGGATGGGCTGGGGCAATGGCTTCGTCACAGGCAGCTGATGCCGCTGGCACGAGTGGTGTTTGAAAGGTTCTTCAACAGAGAGAAGTTGCTCCTCGATCAGCCAATGGATGTTGCCCAGAACATTGACCCCTCTGTGGTGCCCTTTCTGAAGATGACCTTGACCGCATGGTTCCACACTGCTGCTTCTTCTCCTGAAGATACTCACGATGCTTGGGGCGCATGGGCTGAAACTATCCAGGTTGATGATGACGTGTTGAAAAAGGAGCTGGCGCCAGCCTTGGATTTGGTGCTTGAGTCCTTGCTGCGGATGTGGAAGGCCAAATTCGTGAGATGTTCGTAAGTGTCCGAATGGACCGTCCGCAAGTCCCATGACACTTATAGATAATATCATATCTAGAATTTATGTTGGAATGCGTAGAGCAGAGGCAAGACCAACCAATTCCACCCTTGGGCATAGTGGCATAGTTAAGCCACAATGCTTGGTTGGCGTCCACACTTTTGACTCCACCCGCAACGGAAGGCTTTGGATCCTGTGTGCAAGCGCTCCGGAGTCCACTCCATGGTACACCTGGTGAAGAGTTGCATCCCACCAGGCCTTCTGAACAGATTGCCGAACACAAGACGCCGCCTGGAGAGACCGTGCCAAGCAAAGACCAAGGTCAGTTTAACTGGGAAGACCACAACTCTCAAACCCTCTTTCAAGCCTGTCACACCGGTGAAAGCACCGCTGAAAGCTGCGGTGTGGTAGGTCGATTTGTGGCGAAACTTAGACCAAGTCGTGTGTCGACTTCGGACTGCAACTTAGAGGAGCCTGCAGCGATGTACAGTTACAAGCTGCCAAGTTCCAAGATGTGCCAAGCATTTGCTTGGACCATCTTTTGCGCAAGACTCCTGCAAGACGCCCTGAATCGCCTGTGCGGCTGGTGGCTTCAATCCGCTTTGCTCAACAGCTGTTGCCGCATCTCCCAAATTGAATGCCGCTGAGACTTGAGACTGCTTAAGGTTCCTCGCGGCCTCTTAGAGATGCCTTTGGGGGAGGCGTGGCGGGTTCTTCCCTTCAGCACAGAGGGCATTTCGCTGTGGCTTGTCAGATCACTGATAGAATCTGGTAGACCTGCTTAGGCTTTGCAGGATCTGGGCCTTGCCATCCCGGGCCCATTGGTCCTGCAGTGCGAGGGCGATTGGCGGAGTGGGGCCCTCGGAATGGCAAAGAGTAGTGCACTGCTTTTGAGAGTGGGCGATGCTGGTGTCACTTGCTTTTCCTTTGCATCCAACCTCAATCCTATCGATCTATAAAGACATTATGCGCTACGTTCTTCGCTCAAGCACCATTGAAGCATATTGAAGCAATTTGTTGTTCCTGACGCTACTAGGGGCTCCTGGCCTTACTACCTGCTCCAAGGCCCCGAGTTTGAGACCCTGGCAGCAGCCATCACCAAAGAGACTGAGAGCGGAGACCCACGAGGAGAGATGCATCATGAATGAATCATGAAGAGTTGGTTGGATGATGTTGGATACAATATGATACAATAATGATCTATATAATAATTGGATGGTGAAGGTGTTCTCGTTGCCACTGTTAAGTGGTTGAAACCCAACCTGTTAGTTTCAGACCCTTGCGGGTGTTTTGGGCAGGGTTGGGGAGCATTTCAATATGTGTACAGCCGTATCACTCACCTTTTGTGTTTTTAAGGTGGCTGAAACATTGGATGCAATTGCCAAATGGAAAACGTTTGGTCTTAGAGACTCAGTGTTGCCAACAGGCTTAGCTCGCGCGCGTTCTTTGGCCAAGGCCAGCATGTTCTGATCGTGTTATTGGTGAACACACGAATGTGGAACAACTGCAAACAAATCTGAATAGCAAATTAGACGAATTGGAACATTCCCCTCCAATGGTAAGTCTTTGCCTGTTGAACCTTGAAAGTCTATGATCGTAATTCTTTATGTTTTTTCGAGTTTTGAGACGGTTTTGATTAGATATTCTTGCAACGGTGAGCAAAATGCCTTGGCAGGCCATGAACCTTTGCTGGCCGCGGTTTGCACGCTACGCCCTCCGCAAGGATGGCGCCGCCGGGTCCCCAATTTTCTTGTATTTGAGGTGTTGCTCCTGCAATCCACCAACGAGACTCAAAAAACTCAGCACGGGGTGCTGAAGTGCTGAAGGGAAACATGTGACAAGCATCACTCACAGGTTTGCCATTGTAAAATGTATGAGTGCGCTGCTTGTGCCAGAGTTCCCTGTAGCATGGGCGAAAGGATTCTAATTTCGTCATGCTACGTTTGAGGCGTCAACTTTTCTGTTGAGCTTACAGTCTTCTCGATGGCTGCCAGCGGATGAACCAGATGAGGAGTCCGGTACAGAATTGTGGATCCATTGATTGAGACACGTGCTCAAGATACAACCGAACCCCTTTGAAGTTCCGGCTTCAAGCAATGGACCACAATAGAAAGTGGAATGGTGTTGCATCAGCCCATTCTGACTGGCATACTACCACTAGATCCGATGTTTTCTATTATGTTCTTAGAGTAGTATGTTACGTGGTCTTGCTTTGCTTAGTTCTGAAGAGAATCTTCAAAGATGTGTGTCACTCAGCTGTCCCACCATTTTCAACCACCGTTGGGCGCCACACAGGAGACGCCCGTGTGCCGCCCCGGGGACCTGGTGAGCGGCACCGCGGAGATCCGTGCGACCTTCCCGGACGCCGCGCTCTTGCAGGGCCGCCTGTGCGGACTAGTCGCCGGCCCGGAGGCCTAGGTGGCATAGGCGAACTGGACCTGGGAAACAATGGGAAGAAGCAAAGGAAGGAGGCCAAAAAAGATATCAAAAAAGGAAGGAAGGATCAAGGATCGCTTTTGAAGTCATGTGTTTGTGTTTCCTTAATGTTCCTTGAACAGTTCAGACATGTTCAGACCGCCTCTGAGCAGCCATAATGTGCCCGAGCAGCCAGCTAAATGCTGTCATTTGATGAGCCGCTCGAGCCTGAGGAGACTTTGCACAGGCCCTGGGCGTCCTGACCAAACCGTCGGTGGACTTGGCGATGAAGGTGGGGATGGTGAGATGGTCTCATCTCAAGAAGAGTGGGTGAGTTATGTGAGTTGATTTGAGTTGCAGCATCAAAATTGATGTCGCCTTTAGCAAGACGGACTCGACTGGAGGAAGTTTGATGTATATAGATGTCCGGTCAACGTGCTTTGTTGTAGCGGCCAGAAACGGACCTAAGGAGTTACCTCGTCCTGCTAGGCGCTAGGCTGACAGGACATGATTTGTCAATATTTGTGGCAAAACGGGCGTAGAAATCCATGTACTGTTTCCCACTCTTGCACGCTAAGACTCGGAAGCATGTCTTCGGGCCAACGACCCACATGCAGGTGCTCCGTGGCTTCGAGCTATGTTCGCCAGTAGGGCCTGAGAGTGTGAGCGCCGTCTACGGCTTCCTGCAACAGCAAGGCGCGAGTGGCGCCAAGCGCGCAGGGCGGCGAGCTGCGATGGTAAAACAGGCTAAACATGGCTCAACTCTGTGAACATCTTGGGATGTGAACTACAGGTGTTTCTTCTGGAGGCTGTGCCGCGGAGTTTTGATGAATGTGTTTCATCACCAGTAATGTAGCGGCTTCAAGGGAGAGCAATCGATCTTTTTAGATGAGTACAGGAGCTGACCTTAGCTCACTGCGAACAAGCCCGCCAAAGCCCAAGATGAGCCTTCAGGCTTTGCAATGATGTGATTCCATGTCCTTTCAGATGTTTGATGATTTCTATGGGTTATGTCCCTTTCTATTTAAGGCTTTGGTGATTGCCTCAGGTCTGTGGTGGTAGCAAGGAATGCACCCACGCGGCTGTCGAGCGAGGTAGTTTGGGAGGACAGGGAAAAACGGCATGAGCCAAATGATGCCAAATGTATATAAGTGTCCCAAAAAATCTAGAAACCAAATCATTGGTGAAGCTTCCCCCGCCGCCTTTAGGGCGGCGGGGGGAGCTTCTTTGAAGAAGCGAAGCGTGAGCTATCCTGCGTCCAGTAGGTGGTAGCTACCTGGCTACTACTACCTACCTCTAGCTACTACCTCTACGGCCTACACCCCTTTTATATATATATATTATATATATATATATTTAGAAATGTTAAAAGAAAGAAACCCAGTTTCCAGGATCCTCATGGTGCCACGGCACTGCCGATGCTGCAGAAGCTGTACAGTGTGCCTTGGTGTCGAAAAGCGCGTTGCCAATGCGCAGCCACTGAGTCCAGTACGCTTCCACTCTCTTATCTTTCTCAATGCTCGCTCCCTTGGCTGGCTTTGGTTTGGCTTTCGTTGTATTTGATGTTGGAACCGAGACATCCCGGTGCTATCCGGTGCTTGTTCGACTCCATGCCCCAGGCCCATTGGAAGCATTTCTTCGTCTCCCAGCTGGGTGTACCTGAATCACCCACGCCTGACCAGGTGGGAGCCTCAGCATCCTTGCATAACATGGTGTCAAGGTCCTTGATCATAGTCATAGGCTCATAGGCATTCTATTTGGGCAATATGTGGCAATATCCCAAACCCTTGACATTTTATTGCACACCTTCATTAGTCGGCAAGAATCAGGAATGTTTCCCACATGCCTTTGCTTCCTCCCAACACTGCACTGGTCAGTGTCCAAAGTCCACCAGGAATAACATGAAATGACATGCAATCGCCGTTTGAGCCCAGGTTTTACGGCACATTGACCAGCTCTCGACCAACATCTCAACTTCTCCATCCCAGTTGTGGCCTCCTTTGATGCTCTTAGCTGAACGCCTTGGTGACGAATCCGCTCAGGCACCCATTTTGTGTGACACCCACGCATCGGGGAGGGCGAAAGACGTCGTTGATGCTGATTCTTAAATCTACTTCAATATACTTCAACACCTCAAGAATTACCTCTTCCGGGAAAGACGCACACAAGTTTCATGATGGTAAGGTGTTCATGGTGCCTGGTGGATCTTGTGGGACCCGTGGTCCTTGGATGGGGGTAGCCGATTAGCCTGTGTACTGTTTACATGTGTTCACATGTGTTTACTGTTTCAGTAAGTCGTCATTTTGAAGAATAAAAGATTGACCGCCAGGCCTGGGAGGCTTTGGCTGAACAGCTGAAGTTCCGGCAGTGTGTCCCGCTGCAGCTGGGACGACTCGGGTCTCCACGGGACGGTTGAAGCCTCGGTGGTTGCTTCTATTCTAAAGCAATCGGTTGGGAGTCCTAAGATCAGAGATTCAGGGATGCTGTTTTAGATTGTTTATATATGGATGTTTATGCAAGTTTACGTTATGTATGCCTTGAAGCTGGAGATTTGCCAGTTGTGTCTCCAAAGATCTACAGTACAATGCGACCCATGTCCAAAGCAAAGCAATCGGAAACCAAAGAAAACATCACATCTATATGTCCAAATGGTTGTGTTTTCCAAGTTGTCAACCGAGGCGTTTTTGTCGAGGACGGTGCTCTACCTGCGCCGCTCCTCTCGAGGCTCAGGGCCGAGGCACCACTGGTCGCTTCGCCGCCCATCACGGGGGAGCCGGGACGCCCGGGCCAAGGGAGGGGGCAATGAAGCGAAAGCGAACGAGGTAGGGCTTCAAATTGTGGGCCCAAGAGGGCCCCCAGATCGAGCCTTTTCTTTCAGAATGTCCTTGGAGTCGGGCTAAGATATTTTTAAGAGCAGACTTGAGTTTGCAAGCCCCAAGCTTTCTATAGGTGATGGCAGGAAGCCTGGACTAAGGCCGTGGTCGCGCCTTTGTAGT